CTTTTGAAAAAGGCAAGAAGTTTGCCAGAGACGACCCCAGGGCTAAAACGAGGAAAAAACTACAGGTACATTTAATATATATATATATAATATTATTATCGGTTATCGGTATCGTTCTTGAGAAGCAGGAAGTTATCGGTATCGGTATCGGTTTCAAAAAACCAATATCATGCATCCCTAATAAAAGCATATATAAAAAAATAAAAACAAAACTAAAATACATATTCACAAAGCAGACAGATAGCAACAGGTCAAGGCACATGTACAAACAGAGCGTTGTAAAGTGCAGATTGTGTCACTGTTGACAGAGCTGAATATTCCACTAACCATGTTTTTAAGTTAGATTTAAATAAACTGCAGGAGTTTTGCTCTCTAATCTTTACTGGGATTGGGTTCCACTGTTGTGCAGCTTTAAAAGAAAAAGAAGATCTGTCTTCCTTTGAAGGGGTTCTCTCATCAGAGGCGGTCTGAAGTGATTGATGAACACATCAGAGAGAGAAGGAAATCAATAATGGCATCACTTTGTTTAGATGATTACTTGGATGTACTCCAGACAAAGAATTTAAAAGGTTACTTGTGAATTATATTACAGGTTACAAAGAATCTGCCATGATTAATCCCTCTAAATGACAGACATTAAATCGAGGAACTAAGACGCATGCAAAACAGAACAGAAAATGGTTTTATCTGAAATATTTAGGGAGTGGTAACAGGAAAACGTGTCAAGAATGTTGCGACATTTACCAAAAATGATGACTGACACTTTGTCCGTAACCAAGTCTGTGGTTAAATGTCTTTGTTGCAATTTCATTCCTGGCTTTTTCTCAATTTCAGTTCCATATATTTAGAAACATCCCAGTTCACATTCAGACACTTTGTTTCCACCATCAGTCCACTCACCTCGCTGTCATGATTGGCCATATTGAGGAGGGTAACGGGGCTGTTTGGGTTGCTGCCGTCGCTCACGGAGGGCATGTGTCCGTTCCTCATGATGGGTACGGTGGCCAGCGTCTGGCCCTGGGCGTGGGGGTGCGGGATAGCGTGGCCCTGCCCGGTCGAAGAGGACAGCTTGGAGCCCAACGTCAGGTACTGCTTGACCTGCTGATTCTGGGTCTGGTGGAGCTGGTACTTGGAGTTCTCCAGGTGGCTCTGTACCTGCAGCAAAAACAAACAAAAGTCTGTTGATCAAGCATTCCCAAAACAACGCCTACTAGGAACACACAGAGACATAGTTGGTGTTTCCTATTATTAGTCACTTTTGCAGCAAATGTAATTAAATATGTAGCAAGTTTCTTTATGAGAAGTACGATTGATTCCATGAAGGCCATTTCTGAAGTATGGTATTTAAATATAAGTGTACTTGTTTGTGACGGAAAATCTTGTTCAATAGCAAAAGTGTTTTCCAAAGTTGACAAAAATTCACACTTTTTTGCTTACTTTCCTATCATATTAATATACAAAAGTACAAACAGATACAACCAGCCAGCAGTCAACATTTACAAACCAGTAATAAAAGCCTTACAAATGCGTTGGTACATGATTTCCAAATATACCAAGTTTCTAAATGTTGATATTCTTACATTTGAAGCTCTGGTTGCGTCCCGCATCGTGAAGTAACTGCAGTCAGTTAAGTGTGGCATTCTCTTCTTCAGATTGTTTTGTTTTGGTGTAGCAGCAAATCAACCTTAAGGATCCAGATGTGCTGCTATCCTGTTGAGCTGTTGACTTCTCAGTGAGTGTCTGTACTTCCCCGTCCCCTACCGAAGTCTTATAAAGGGTCCTAAGTGAAATAATTAGGCCCAAAGCTGGGGGTAAGCCTTTATGTTGCGTAGCATGATAATCACTTCAAACACTGGACTGTCAGATCACCCGGGGTTTGATCACTGCAGGATATCTGCCTTTAGCGTCTGTCACTAATTCATGCGGACCGCCCTTTCCTTTCTGACTGACCAATCGGTGATCAGCTCCCAGCCTCCTCTCCTGCCTGCTCCAGGGGTTGTGGCAGCACAATTGACCCTTGTTCCCCAATGGGTGATTTAAATAACTCTAATGCCATTTTTAACCAAGCTTTTTTTCAATCATTCACTGGTTTCATTGTAGATATTTTAGTAATATCAGTTTCCCGAGCAATAACTTTTTTATTAGTTTTTCTCCTGTAGAGTATTACTTACTCATAAAAATCCCATTAAACCAAATTTAATTTATAAAGTAAAATCACCAATAATGAAAGCATAAGCTCATAAGCTAAGCTGAAAGGCAAGTTCAACTACTCTGTGACATGCTAAATGCTATACAGTAAGGTAAAATACTATGCTACAGTAACAGTAAAACAATTGGAGAAGAGTGTGTTGAAAGATATAGAAACCTTGTGTTTGCTACAATTAGCCACTATTAGCTTCTGTTCATATCGGGTCAAATAAGGCTTCCGCAATAAAACCGCAGATGGAATTTAATAAAGAATCAGTTTATTGCTCGTGATTTCGATTTCTAAATTTCCAAGCGTCTGTTAATTATTCTCTTAAACGTCACACATTTGCTGAGTTGCCAGCTAGCAAGTAGCATGTTGCAGTTTCAGATTGCTAGCAAGAGTACATGTTTTGTTTGAAGGGTTAGCCCAACACAGCTAAACCACAGGGACTTTTAGCCTTAGCAAGTGTGGAATTGTAAACTCACCATTAAATTGTCTTCCTCAGCTAGACTGGATGCCCTTATTCACTGCTCATCCACCAAACTAAGAACAGTCACAATACACAACTTGTCAGTAGTGACTGAGAGCTCTTATCTGTCTTCTCCAGGCCAAACAAGATGCTAGTTGTTAGCCAATCAACATTTCTTTCCACTATGGATAGCTGCAGCAGGGATGCCACATCTGCTTTGTGTGACAGAGGTTTGTCCTAGTTTCACTTCAGCTTTCTCACTACTGTAAATGCCGGAGACACGCTTGTTATCCACTTAAGGGAATCTGATTAGATTTGAGAGGTAATGGTTCTTCAGTCACTGAGGCCAACATCCACAATGGTGGGCCTGTGTATGTGTGAAGAGGTCATGCTGAAAATTATCAATGCCAAGCGTGCACATGGGGCGCGGAATACGATAAGAATTTAATCAATCAAGGATCAAGTTTGGGATTGTTGTGACCATTTTTGTCTTTCTCAATACTTGCACCTGCTCCAACAATCCAGGCAGTGTTTGAGGTTTACGCTCGAGAAGAGGTCACAGGTTCACTCTCAATTTACACACATTTGCACAGTTATTCCTGACATGCAAACCTTCTGCTGACTCTAGAGACAACCATCCACTGATAAGCAATGAAATCAGTCAATACCTATTTTGTAGCACCTTTGCATAGTTTGCTTTATTACATCTCACAAGATTTGACAAATACCATAATCTCCGTCCGGTTTTCCGTTCATACTTCCTTCCTGCAGTACAAATATACAAACTTGACTGTGATTAGGAGATCAGCTGCATTTCCCTAACTTAATTATTCTCATTAGAGACTTTTAAACCAGTAAAATAAAGACGTCTGAACCACACAAGCCTTCGTTCAACACGCTCAGCCTATTCCTCTCTTTCTGTATTAATCATTCTTCTCCTAACACTTTCACTAACACAATTTGTGTTCTTGCAGGGATCTTAACTAAACACGAATGCAGCAGGTCGATCAAATCAAACAGATGCTCTACTGTGAAGAGCATCACACATGTGTTTTCCAGTAGTAATATAGAATATGTATCTGTACATACTTGTCCTCTATTTGTATTTCTTTAGTCCCACTTAAATTGCTGCTCCACTCTCACGCACACTCCCAGGTGTTCCTTTCGAAAATGGAAAGCTCTTGCCTAACTCAGTTTCAGTCTTGCCCAAGTTCTTCTTTCACTTCAGAAAAATCCTAAAACTTATGAAACACTGGGTGTTGGTGACATTAACAAGCTGAACAAATTATGGACAAAACCTAAGAGGAGGTTCAGGATTCATTTCTGCAAAATGTGTGTATTCTTCGACAAATTGACAGCCGCAATGCTGAAATATCCCTATTTAGGAAGATAAGATGAAAGTGGAAGAAGAATAAACCTTCTCCGACATCCTCACAGTGCTTTTGCTGACCAGTAAATATCCGTAACCACGCACCCTAGGTTGTGAAATGCGAGGGAAGATAAGACTTGGATAGCAAACGGATCAAAGAATCTGCATTCCACGGTGGCTATTCACTTATTCTGGTTGTAAGTGCATGGCTTTTATAAAACTCGGACGATTTATCTCATGCAAGCAGAAACAACTGCACACAAAGTCACACACAGCTGATTTGCCAGTGCTGTTTCTGAGGCCCCCCCTACCTTTAGAAGTTGTAGCTCAGTCATGGTGATCACTTTGACCACACAACAGCGACTCATGGCTCCCAGAGTGGCAGCATCTCCAACCATAAGTGCAGCAACACTTCTAACAGAAGAACATGAACTGTCACGGCTACAGCTGTGAGAAGAAGAGGAAGAAGAAGAGAGGTGCTGCAGCCTCCCCCCTGAGCTTTCGCAGAAATATCGGAAAGGAAGGCATGTCACATCAGCTTATTTGGGAGCCGCACGGGCCGCTTCCTGTGTGTGTATGTTTTTGGTCAGGAAAAAAAGCCTGACAGAGACAGAAATACAGATGACGGTTAGGGGGGTTGCAGTGTGCGTGTGCAGGGGGTAATAAGTTGACAGAATGAGAGTTCCTGCTTGTTGATCACCACACTTTCCTTCCTGCTGAACATCCAGCCCCACTCAGCACATTCTCCCAGGTTATCTTCATGACACCCACTTCCCTTGCAAGGCTCATCAAAACTCACATTCAACTAGGGAAACGCACCGATATGTAATCTGTGTGTATGTGTGAGAAAATACAACAACACACAGATTGCACTCACACAGAGTTGTTATCATGTCCTAGTTACTGTCAGGCCACAAAAAAGGGCTATACAAGCATTTCCAGAATTGCTCTCAGAAAAGTAATGGACACGGCACACTTCACGCAGATCAGAGGAAATCAACCTGTAGTCCCAAACTCTAGATGATCAAAACAAATCTGCTCAATCAAATGGCTTATTGAATAGGGAAAGTTGACATTTTAAAATCCTACCAGAACAAATCAATATGGTTGATATTTTGGTTCAATCAAATGTGTTGATGTAGCACTACAGCTAACAATGCTAACACACAATACAGCTGTGTTTATATGGCTTCAGTTAACCTAAAGGGGCCCTATTCTGCTCATTTTCAGGTACATATTTGTATTTTGTGTTGTTTGAATGCTATAA